CATATTTCAGGAATCGTCTCGATGCTTTATGTATGGAATCACTTTAGACGCGAGAGCTTCTCTGCCGATCGGGCCTACTGACGCTGCCAGGTACTTTTAATCATGTTTATTGCATTTTTAGCACCACAGGGGGGGACGTCATAGCCGCCTCGTCCGCCTTTTCATTACGATTCAGATCTATTTGTTTGGGTACTTAGACAACAACCACCGTATTCCCAAGAAGTTCCAGTTCCAGGAATTTCCCCAACAAGAGCACAACGAGAGAGTCGACGTAGAAAATGTCACGGACAGCAGTAACCGCGATGAGGGAGTCGGTGCAGACCAGGCAATTGGCAAGCAGAGCCATCACCGTCACAAATCACCTCAAGCGCCTCAAGCTCACGTTTGGATGTTTTATTTTGATATGTTATTTACAAGTAATGATAAATGATGGCTTGAGGTCATCAAAATGTGACGCTTTTGATGCAGAATGAATCAGTTTTTCACTCTCTATTGTGGGCTTTTTTAATGTGTATATATAGTTTTAAATTCCACTGTCTAAATATTTATTGTATAATCGTTACTGCCGGTAAAGACAGATTTTGATGAGTGCCGTATTATGTGAATATAAGTGAATACGCCAGTTCGAAACCAATGAATATTAAATAACTCAACTCGCTGCGCGCCCCCTTGAGTACGAAGGAGGTCAATTATTCATAAAGTAATTGGATACTTCTATGTACATTAAAAAATCTTATCGAGATAAATTCATCAAACTCGGGAATGTAAATTAAAAAGGTAATCTCCTCTCAAACCCATTGGGAATTTTTTACTCAACATTCCGGCATATTTTCTGCAGTAGCTTGTCAGAATTCCTTTTCCGTAAGCTTTTTCAAGAAAAAATGAATGTATTTTTGACTTCCTTTTATCTCCCGTTCGAATTCGAGCCGGCTTCAAGAGTTTCGAACTGGCGTATTCACTTATTCAATTCACTAATTTCGTGGTCCGCTTGACCAATTAAATCATTACAATTAATTAAGGTTTTTAGTTGAGATGAAAAAAGTCAATGGCACGAGAGGGATTCGAACCCACAACCTTCGGCTAGATACGCCGCTGCTCTACCACCTGAGCTATCGTGACCTCGATCCACTCGGACATAAACCCCACATCTCAACCCCACCTTATGAGTTTTCCCTCCTTTTTGCCATTTTTCAAATGTATAATCGGATTGGATTCTCGGCGACAAATGAAATGGCCACGGAGAGCTTTAGTGAAGTATACTTCATTTTTAATTCATTAAATTCACTAATTTCGTGGTCCGCTTGACCAATTAATATATTACAATTAATTAAGGTTTTTAGTTGAGATAAAAAAGTTAATGGCACGAGTTGGATTCGAACCCACGATCTTCGGCTAGATACGCCGCTGCTCTACCACTTGAGCTATCGTGACCTTTATCTCAACTAAAAACCTTAATTAATTGTAATATATTAATTGGTCAAGCGGACCACGAAATTAGTGAATTTAATTAATTAAAAATGAAATATTCTTCACTTTTCTTATCTTCGTATCTTCGGCTAGATGAAGATCGTGGGTTCGAATCCCGCTCGTGCCATTGACTTTTTTATCTCAACTAAAAACCTTAATTAATTGTAATATATTAATTGGTATTAGTGATTACCACGAAATTAGTGAATTTAATATTTATTAACCTTGGAATACAAAAATAAATAAATATATAGACCTTTAGATATAAAATGAAATGTTTGAGTTTTTCTTGATATCATTCTTATTTTTCTCACTTAATAGTTAGATGAAATATAAAAATTTTTAACACATACTAAAAGTAGAAACATTCAACATTACAACGGTTATACTTTGGGTATTGGATAGAATCCAAAGGAGTATGAATTTTTGAACTGGAATACAAAAATATTGTCTCCTGCCTGATCTAGACCAAAAACTGTTGTTTTCAGATTGGCAATTATGACCGAGCATCGTAGCAAAATAGATTAAAATATTTTTTAACATGATATAAAGCCCATATTCGTTTTCTGCACCTCAAAAAAACGGAAAATAAAATTCTTTCAATTAATGAATCTTTTATGTAAGGTATTGGTTGAAATGAAAAAGTTAGCGTTACGAGCGGGATTCGAATCCACGATTTTCGGCTCATTTCGCCGCTGCTCTTACCGATAACGGAGCCTCAAGAGTACTAGGTAACCCCTGGAGTAATCTGCCTTAGACCAGTGAGAGGGCTCCTCCGGTGTGGACTTTTAGATCCCTCATACTCGTGGGAACCATATGGAAAAACCAAGAGTAAGAGTCTGGTGGTAGACATAAATGATATTACCTTTGGGGCTCTAAGCAAAGCAAACTTAAAACTTTATTTTGGCTTTGTAATGGATAACCCTTAGGATCATCAAAAAAGCAATAAAGAATGATGCTGAGGGTGCTTCAAGCAAACCTCCCGCACAGTAAATCTGCCACACTTACGCTATGTCGTGTGGCCAAGGAGAACAACATCCGTCTAGGCCTTATTCAGGAACCCTGGCTAGTAAAAGGTAGCGTAGCTGGGATGGGAGATAAGCGAAGAAAATTCATATATGACCACAGGCAACAAAAGGTAAGAACATGTATTTCAATTAAAAATGAAGTTGTGGCGAAAGGATGTCCGAAGGAGGAATACTCTCGCCTCTGCTGTGGATGGTGGTAGTGGATTACCTTATATGCAAACTAAATGAAACCCGAATTATACCCAAGGCTATGCAGATGACATTGTCATATTAGTCAGTTTAAATTGGATTCAACATTAAAAGAGCTCACTCAACGAGCACTAAACATGCTGGAACAATGGTGTTCACAACGGGGACTTAAAGCAAATCCCTCAAAAGTTACCCTAATTTCCTTCATCAAGAAAAGAAATAGAAATACAACGCCTATGCTTTTATAATGAAATGCTGAAGTTAAAAAATGAAGTTAAATGCCTAGGAATAATCTTTGATAAAAAGTTAACGTCGAAAACTCATCTGCAGCATACCACAGCAAAAGTAAAATATCGCTAATGACCACAAGAATAACCTTATGCAAATCTTGTGGATTAAAACCGCAAATGGCCCATTGGCTATACACGGCAGTAATAAGACCCAAAATAGCCTATAGACCATTAATGTAGTGGATCAAAGTTCAACAAAAAGCAGCTACTCAATCACTAGGCAGCATCCAAAGATTAGCAAACCTATGTATCACATGCGCAATGAGAACAACCCCTACGAGTGAAAGGGAAGATTTCTACAAGGGGAGGCTAGAAAAAACACATTTAGTCTCCATAAACAATCAAATTGGATAGGAAGTAAACAATTCGAACATAACCATAATTAATAAAATCAGACACACATTCTTACATGATCCGATCTGACTACATGATCTTGGAAACATTCTTTACAACATCTATAAGGTCTCAACGGACTATAAAGAAGAGGAAGAACTCAGGAGAGCATCAGATACAATGATATGGTATACAGATAGCTCCAAAACTAATGAAGGAACCGGATTGGGTGTTTTCTGTACAAACCCAAGATATGAGCAATCAAACTCATTAGGGAAGTACACTTCGGTCTTTCAAGCAGAAATGCATTCCATCAACGCTTGTGCCTTAGAAAATCTTAGAAGAGTTTACACTGGCAAAATACCCTCATAAGATCCGATAGCCAAGCAGCTATTAAAGCATTAGCATGTAAAAAATCACATCAATATTAGTCAGTGAATGCACCCAAAAACTCCAAAACCTGGGGAAACAACAACCTGATGCTATCTTGGGTGCTAGAGCGCAAAGGAATTTTGGGCAAAGAAAAAGAAGACCCACTGGCCCGAGGAGGATCGGCAAGACCATACAAAGGCCCCGAACCTATACTTGGGATAACAAAAACAAATACAGAAACCTCCATCACAGAATGGAACCAAATAAAACAAAATGAGTAGTGGATAAACTATAGCGGCGCTAGACACAGTAAACTTGTGCTAAAACAACCCTCACCAAGTCTGGCAAACTCACTGCTGCAGTTGGAGAGGGCCAGACTCAGAGGAATGATAGGTCTATTAATCGGTCTCTAGCATCTGAGAAAACATCTACATAACATGGGCATATCTAACGATCCCATCTGCAGATTATGCAATGAGGAGGAGGAAACAGCCACCCACATCATCTTCGAATGAGAAGCAACGGCTCAATGGAGATTTAACCTACCATACGAAAAAACCTAGGGAATGAAATTTTCGCAGTCAATGACCTAATACTTCTGAGAAGGCTTGTGTCGATTGCACTGAACTAGGCAACTAGGAAGGTACAATAAGCCAGAAGGCTTGAATACCTGGGGAGCACAAACCCCTTTCTAGTATCCTCATCACCTTTACCAAATATGCTACTGTTTTGCAGAAGTAATGATAACAATTGAACACTGCGCCAGAAAAATGAAAAGACTAGGAACACATTCTAAGATTACAAAGCGCATTTAAACCTTATGCGAGTTAAAAGCAGAAAGGGTAAGGAATTGCACGGAATCTCTGAAAGAAGTCAGTGACACTAATGGTCTGATGGGTCCCTGGACATTCGGGACATAGAGGCAATGAGAGGGCGGATATGTTGGCCAAAAAAGATTTCAATATGAATTCTCTAGACCCCGAACCCTACTGTAGGCAGGCTAGCACCTTGCCACAAAAAAGGATATATCTAAAAGTGGTGCCTTTTTTAAGGAGACCAAAACCTGGTGGAACAATAATCAAGGTACGAAGCACACGAAGAAATTCATAGAAGGGCCATCCGCAAAACTTACAAAGGAATTACTGGAAGGTAATCGCAGCGGAACCATGATTCTAGTTTGACCTCTGACAACGCCCTGCCGCCTACTCAGATTGAGGTGCAGAAGGCCCCATGCAAACATTTTTATCCATATCCACTATTTATAGGACCCCGTTAAAAATACAATAACAAATAAATAGTGTGAAAATCGTGCAACACATACCTGAAGATGTAGAATTGTTATAATCTACAGCCTGAAGAATCAACGTAAATGATCTCTGAAACAAAAATGGCCTTAATTAGAACGTAAACTCGAGGGAAAATTAAACATAATTTTTTTCCGTTAATTCTGTTTTTATTACTTCATAGATGAAATAAAAAGATGAGAAATTTCGACTTTTAATGAGTAGATATTTAAACGTGTCTTCTGATGAGAACGAACCTGGAAATGGAGCAATTTAAAAAAAGGGTGAATAAAATAAGAAACCGCCGCGCACGTTAACGATGTATTTGGATTGCTCCCAGTCGGTGGTAGATAGTTACTCCTTCCATCAAATGATCAACAGTTATTTTCTTATAGACTCAATATGGGGCTCGTTATAACTGCAAACGAATAACTCAAAGTGTAAATCGTAGGCATCGAAAACCGACGATTACTGAAAGCCGAGGTTAAATACAAACAGGCGTGAAAGCCCAAAGCTTGTTGAAAAGGTTCAAATTCACGCGATTTGTTATTCATTGATTCATGTTATTAACAACAGGAATCAGAATCGTAAATTAAAAAGTTTCTCTAATTGAAATGTTAACTGGTTCGATACAGTAATCTCACGCTATCGTTTTATCAAAGTGAAATTCAATTCAGGTTACTTGAAGGTTACTTTTACTTACAAGAGGTAAAAACAGATTTTCACGGAAACTTTTTTTTATTTATTTTTTTAAACATTTTTTGTGATACTAGATTGAAAAATAATAGATAAGTCAATAAGCCCTAAGAGCCGAGAAAAAAATATGTTAAAAAATTTACATATATACTTTTTTAAATATAGTTTTATGCGTTTATTGTGCGTGTATTTCAACATTATTATATATCAGTAGTATTTTTTTTACGTAGGATAAAATAACATTCAAGATTACACTACATTGAGATTATAGATCCGACTAAGCAAAGTTGGCTTTTTATAATTTATTTTTGTCTGTTATAATTTATTTTTTCAATTATAATAATGTAGCTAGACATAAATTTTATAACCATTTTTTACACCCTAAAAAAACCATAGACACACATTATGTAGAAAATAAAAAAATTATAATATTAAAGAAATAAAAAATCAAGTATGACATTTTTCGCCCTCCAGTACTCTAATTTTGTTTTAAAAACCACAAAAATGGCGATAATTTTGATAAAACTTCACTGATCTATGGGAAACTTTAATGAGCGTTACGCTCTTAAAAAAACACCGGACATCGCATAAAACATTGCCGTCTAGGTGGTCCAGCCCAAAAATGTCTGTGTTTAGAGTAGTATTGTGATCGAGCGTCGTTGGACAGTAGGTTAAAACATTTATTTTAAGCCAGAAATAAAGTCTATATTCATTTTCTGCACCTCGAAAAAATCCCTGAATACCAAGTTTTGAGACAAAAATATTTTTTATCTCAGACTTTTAAACCACACGTCGTCTTAAAGCTGGTATCCGTAAAAGAAAAAAATTGTAACCAGAGTTATAAAATAAAAGGTTTGAAGGATTCTTGCATCTTTCAACCTTACTTGTCCCACAGTATCAACAAACTAAATATTTTTAGCGTCTAAAAGAAGAAAAATTGGGCTTTCAAAACATTGTACTGACGTGGAATTTGGATACAATAGAGAAGAGTTGTGAATTTTTATATGTAACCAGTGAAATCGTAAAAATATTCCCCCCGGGCAGTTCCAGCCCCAAAAATAACTTTTTTCTGAATGGTATTGTTTAACAAAGTTGATATCGGCTTTTACCACCACTCAAAAAATAATAATATTGATATAAAAAAAAGTTTGAGGGGTTACATCGGAGAAAAGAAATGATGGATGATCCAACACCAAAACGTCTATTTTTTGTTTTCTAAAAAATATATTTTAGAGCATTAAATGGTGCTTTAAATAAATCCAAATTGTTTTTATATTCGTAAAACAAACATATTTCAAAATCAAAAAATAGTTTTTTTTTCCAAATGCCTCCGATTTTTTCGAAAATCTCAGCGATGGTGATAGCTTTGAAAATACTTCACAGATCTCCAGAAATGTTCAAATATAACCTACCCACACATAACCTACCCATTATGACCGTTATAAACTACGTTATTGCTCAAAGTTGACAGCCTTAAAATATTTAGAACCGAAGATAATAAAACATTTGAGGGTATTTTGTACATTTCACACTTATTTGTCTCATTTATGTTAGCATAAAATATCCCCATCGTTGACATACCATTAAACAAGAAATATTCAGCTTTTCACCGGTTTTATGATAAAACCTGATGATTTATGAAATTTTTAAGTGGAAAAGCGGACATCGAAGAGAAAAACACCTCGCTAGGCTAAACCAGCCCCAAAATAACTATTTTCTGTTTGCTATAAAATTCCTATTTAAGAGCTTTATAGGAAGCTTTAAACAAGTCCAAAATGAGTTTTTCAAAACAAATTTTTTTCGCCTACTTTACTAACATCTTCATGCTTTTGCAACATCGTTTAATTCTATCTTCCATATTATTTTCTTATTTTAGGTCGACAGGCATATTATAATCTTGTTACAAATGCACAACAAAGGCAGAAAACCATATTAAAAATAAATACAAATCCCTTTTTTTTAATCTAAAACTGGTGAAAACTTTCGGATAAGTATATTTTTCGACCTAGTTTTAGTAAAAAATTTAATGGTTCATGAAATTTCACTTTTATTTACCTATTACAATATATACTATATTAATTATTATTAATATCAATATATCAATATATATTATGAGGCAAAAAGGTGTAGTAATTGTTTTGAGTTTTTGGAGTTTGTTCACGCGAGCGCAACACCCATTACTTTTGAACTTCGTTTATTTTCAATTTAGATCGGACCGAATCAATACATAACAGATCCTCTAGTTTAAAAAGAAAACAAACAAAGAGTGAAAAAATTTATGGATTGTACATTCTTGGCTATCTTACATCCTGGTCGGGCGATAATGGGAGATAGGAGGAAGGAAGTTTTTGTTCTCTCTGAAACATTTCAAATTTGGCCTACAAAACCGCCTGAATAAGGCTGACATTATGCTTTTTAAACGTTCGATTTATCTAAAAATTCAAATTGTAAGCATTTAGCAGGATTTTGAAACTTGGGCATATTCCAGCTTAAAAAAAAGACTGCATTTCATATTTCACTTATGAAAAATCGTGTCAGCAAAAAACAAACTGTCAAGAATGCGAAGATTCTTAGAGAAATACAAAATATGCGAAAGAAACTTCATGTCATAAATAAAAAAACAAGATTTAGAGGGAATTTTAGAAGAAAAAAGATCCACTGGCATTTCTTTCAGATTAAACTAGGAAAGACAGAAATACAAACCCTATGCTTCTATAATGAAATGCTGCAGTTTCAAAACAAGGTTAAATACCAAGGGTTTATCTTTGATAAGAAATTAACCGGGAACCTTCCCCTGAAACACATCATAACAAAAAGCAAAATACCACTAATTCAATCGCGTCAGGCATCAAGGTCTACTGTTGAAACACATAGAACCGAGGGCTTATTTTTAACAAATTGTCTGTTATGCGTTCTAATTTATTGACCCCTGTCTTTGTACCACAAGGGTAATTTTGTCGAATTCTCAAATGTATGACAGTAACTTAATGAAATCCCAAACGGCTCTGGACTCTACTGCCGATCAGGCTGCCTTGAAATAATGAGATTTTTCTGTCTCTGTGACAGTCAACGACCTAGTACTCTTAGTAGTAGTAGAAGAAGGATCGAGTATATTGCACTGAAGTAAGGAACTTGAAAAGTATAATAATCCAAGATGGCTGCAATACTTGAGAAACAAAAAACTCCTCCATCCTAGTATCCATCGTAATCTTCATAGGGTTATTGACAAAGGTAAATACAAATTATTTGGGACATTGAATAGAATGTATTATTGACTCGATATCGCCAGTCTCATTTTTGAGCAGAAACGTACAAGAATTTAAAAACACTGAGAAAATGTAAAACTGACAGTGGTACTGGTCAACACAAGACAGCTGAAGGGCTGGAGTTGATAAATCGCTAGCTTTTGTACGATTTGAAATAAGCGATAAAGAATGACAAAAGATAAAAGATGAGCTGCGCGTGGGTGGCAACTGTCAGCGAATTGGTCGGCTTCTCTCGAAAAGTCGACAGCCCGGCTCCCCACACTCATAAACATTTCAACTCGAAGGCCCCTATTTTGATCTTTTTCGCCTGGCTACCGAAATCTTTTAAAATGATGTGCCAGGATGTATAGGGTCGTAACTGAAATTTTGAAGTTGAACTGGGCCTGAGGTACACTGTATAATTTTTCTCCAAATGAAGGTAAAAATTTGAAACTAGACTAAAAACATTATTATTATTATTATTATTTTATAGTATCATTGGTTCAAGAGGAAATTCAGCCGGGCCATCTATAAAGCACCCCCTGTATAGTTAAAATGTAAATTTATTTATTTTTATTTATCTTTTTGTACAATAAAGTGTACTATTTGAGTGCCTAGGTTATAAAAAACCCAACTGAGGTTAGCCATTTGAATAATAAAAAAAAATTTCCCTGCTACAGAGATATTGGTTCAAATGCCAAATTTGTATACTTGAAAAGATGGTACAATGTTCCAATCAATATTTCTACAATAAAAATATATTTTTATGAAAAACAGTATTGTATATACATACAATATTAATAATAATAGTAAGTTTGTGGGTCAGAAGCTAGCGCCAGCGGGAAAAGGCGCCGATGTCGCCGATTCTTCATAACAGGGATGTACCAGTGTGCGGGTAGAATGTACTTTTTGACTCTGGTGCCAAACGCGATCGAAAGCCTGGTCAAGAAGGGTCCCCGAACAATAATGCCCCAACTCAAGGGAAGTATAAATAAGGTCCACAACACTGTATCATTGCCACCCATTAAGTGCTGCCTCTTTGGCTTTGTTAGAGTTACGAGAAATCCAATAATCATACGTGGGTGAACGGTTTAAGTGTCAATAAGTGACCCTTGGTGGATTTGTAATGTCCAATTATCAACCTTGATGTCT